TTGCCAACAAAGACAAATTGATGCAAAGGAGAATGGAAAAGCCTCCATATCTCTATTTTGCCTTAAATTGGTTTTGATGCCAGCAGAGTGAGAAAATGCCAGAGGCTCTGGGTGGGTGCCCCATCGTAAATGCACCAAACAATTCCTAAAGATTTTCCAAAACACTACTCTGTCGATAAATTGCAGCACTTTGAATTAGCACCAGAGCTTTAAGAGCTCTGCAGCTGTCACCTGGAGACTGGCAACAGCTTGTTTGGAGAGTGGGGAGTATGGCATTGTATCTGTCTGAGGTCCTCCTCTTCCTCTTCTTCCTCCTCCTCCTCAGACCCCACCCTCAGCAGGCTTCATCCCTAAAATATCCTGGAAGTTTCCAACCTGGAGTTGGCAACCCTATGTCCTTTCCAGGCAACCATCAGCCTACCTTTATCTGCCTGTCTGTCTTCAGGTTTACATCCCCCCCCCCCAGCCTCTGCCTAGGGAAAGGGCAGTCTTTCCCTGCAGTGTGAACCAAAGCAGCTGACATCATTCTCCTCTCTCCCCGTATGATCCGCACAACTACCCTATGAGGTATGTTAAGGTTGAAAGTGTGTGAACCTGGGATCTGCACACCACCAGAATACAGTAGGTTCCATATGCAACTGACATTCCAACTGCCTTGCGGGGGGGGAGTTTGAGGTGTGGAATGGAGTGAAGTCCAGTCAACCCAGCCAGTCAACCCAGCCAGCGTCTTCTGACTGACAGTTCAAGCGTCCATACACTAAAGGTGTGCATTTGGAATGTTGGTCCCCACTACTGCTTTATAATATAAGGGAGAGATGACAGCCTAATCCTGAGGGCAACTATGGTGGAGGCAGCCAGCCACTAGCACAACAGCTGCATCACTGAAGCATTCCCTAAGAGGAGACCACACAAGCTAGGGACTGGGAAAATGGTCCCACAGCAGGACTGCACATAACAAGCAAGAAGTATGTCCAAGCAAGAAGTATGTCCAAGTACTGTTGACCCCAGGGCACGGATCTTCTAGAATTATGTCCAAGTACTGTTGACCCCAGGACACAGCATCCCTCACCTCACACCTAGTTTCCAGCCTCTCCCTCTCAATGGATAAGGTGGAGGGATGCGTTGTGCAGGCCATGAACCCTGCTCCTGGGGGCCAAGCAGCAGCTTCCATTCTGCAGTCCCACCAAGGACTGCATTGGCTTCAGCACCTGGGCCCAGCCTGGGACATGGCAGAACCTCATAAACCCGCCATATCCCCAGTTCTCTGAGGTCCTGACCCCACCCCCATCCAAGGACATG